TCTCTCTTTCTTTCGCCAGGGCTACGACCGAGGGTTGCCCCTCTCCCTCCCTCTCTCTCTCTCTCTCTCTCTCTCTCTCTCTCTCTGTGTTGGGATAACATCCTTCCAATGCCACGTTCTGGCTGAAGTTAAGCTGAAGTTGCAGCCTCTGGCAGCTCCCCAGAGACCCGCGAGCCTCAGGACGTCACAGCGACCCCTGCTGCGACTCTCAAACTCTGGAGACCCCCTCGCAGGGATCCAGACACTGCTGCGCCGGCGAGGCTCCCCATAGCGGGGACCTCCCAGAGAAAGAGGCTAGCATAAAGTGACTCTTGAGATCAAGAAACCTAGGCTTAGCTAAGCTAGATGTGACTGGGTTCGCGTGTCTTCGAAGGAAGGCGGAGTGCTGCGATCGCGGGGTGTCGCCGTCGCCTGCGGCTTTGAAGGCAAGGCCTCTGCCGCCGTGGCTTTCTTCCGGAACTGGCAGCAAGACGACTTCCAAGGCCAAAGGAGCAGAGGTCGAAGACAGCATCCGCCACCTCTTTCCGTGCTTTTTTGAGATCGATCGCCCCTTTGTTGAAGGGAACCTCGGGCCAGGCGAAGCGGCGGCTATGGCACAGGCGAAGCGCACTGGGCCACAGACGCCAATGGATGCCTTGGTCTTGTACTCCTTGTCGTACTTTTCGTAATACCTGCAGGCAGGGTTCCGACAGGAGTCTCCCAGAATCCCAGCCAGGCTGACGGGCACCATCAGGCATGCAGCTTGAAGGTAAACAAAGAGACCAAAGGGGAAAGGAACGAGACGGGGACAAGTCACGAGCCAACGACAATGGCGGCCCGGGCCTTTCGGCTGCCCTTCACGCGTCCTAATGTCACGTGATTTCGTGTCCAGGTTTTGCTTCGTTTCCTGTAGGCTTGTCTGAGCAATCTGGTGAATTCCAAGACAGTTCGGAGAGTATCGCAGATGTTGGGCGGCCTTCCAAGGGTTTGGACACCATGAACGAAGCTTCTCAGCAATTGGTTGCCATGCATTGCTGCGGATGTTGGTTGCAGTCGCACTGTTAAGCTTCTCCTGCATGAAGCTCTGCCACGCGGTTGTACGGGCATGCTCATGCTGCTTTGCAAACAGTCTCAACAGGTAATCCTTCGGATGTCGTGAAGATAAGGTAGTGTCATCGTTGTAGTTGTTCGGGTTCGTGTTCAGGCCGCTGCTGTAGGCAATTGAGATTGCTGGGATTGCTTACGGCTTGTGGCTTCGACTGTGCCAAGGACTCGGCAAATGCCTGCACGAGCGTGGCAAAGCTAAACCGATCGCCTCCTCTCGAAGGCGATCTCTCTGGGAAACTCCAGCTTCTCGTTCCGCAGCCTTCCCCAGCCTTGCAGAGGACTACTAGAACACCAAACTCTTCGGCATGGTCGGGCAGCAAATGCGACGACTGGAAATACACTAAGTTACACACCTGCAAGGGCAGAGCATTGGGATCATGACGACTCTTGTCGATTCATGAACTTCATGCCACCAGATGCCAGCCCCGAACAGACCAGACCTGGACGCGCGTACCACTCGGTCTCAGCCGAATCCAAATCCTGAACAGTGCACAGCTGTTACATGCCAGTGCAGGAAATCACAAGGTCGCTTGGCTTCGCCAGGGGCCTCGTTCTCCTTCATCCAGTTTGCAAGTGTCGGCCGGTCCTAGGACAGGTCGCAAGATGCCAGGGCAACAACCCATTCCGGACAGGACTTGGTCGAGGACCGGTGCATCTTCCGACAACGGCTCGCTATCCTCAAGGAGAGCAACAGTGGATGTCACCCCTTCCCGCAGGGAAGTCACCTTGTGGATATGACGAGAGTCCTCAGGATCGACTGACGCTGCTGCAGCAAGCTCTCGCTGCTTGAGGAAGGTCTTGGCCAGGGCCTGCGGTGCAACTGCCAGGAAACCCGCTTCGCCGCTTCTGCTCCCAGCAACTCAAAAGCTCCAAAGTTCGATGTTCCATGCTTCTGTCAAAACGGATGAGGCCGTGGCGATCTTGTACTGCCACTCGTACAAGCTGCCGGCTGACGGCTGTTTTCGTCGGAATTTCTGGCAGCAGTTTTGCAGAGCAGCAATATTGGGAAAGGAGAGGGGCGTCGCTCGCAGCGACAGGCCTCCATGCGATGGTGCAGCGTCATTCGACGCCTCTCGCCAGCAGCAGTTTTGCAGGTGCCAAAACACACAACGGAAAAACGGCTCATCTAAGCTGTACACGATTTCGCGATGGTCTCGTGGAGTTCTTCATCCGTCATTTTCCGGAGCTCCTTGCGATACCTCGCCTCTGGCAAAAGACAGGAGAGGCTTCTCCCCTATAATGGAATATAATATAATCAATCCAATATCATACAATCAAATTTAATCTGGAGGGTGCGTCGGAATACGGGCCCGTGTTTTGCGAGTAAAACAAATGTTTTTAAGCATGTTTAAGGTGGTGTTAATTAATCTAATATCATCTAACCTGATCTAATCTAGTCTAATCTAAATTAATACAATATAGTAATATACTATACTATACTACAATAGAATCCCTCTTTAGGCACGAAATCTCCGAGGCGAAATCCGAGCTCCGCGCGTGGGCGTAGCCGCCGTGCGACACGCGCTGGGCGACCTTGGGCTCGCGGAGATCCTCGCGGGAAAAACCGAAGCAATAGGGGGGGGACCTTATTGTTGGGGGGTTCTCACAATAAGGATCCTACTATTTAGGGTACCATATTAGGGTCCCCTATTTAAGGTCGGTTTAGGTCGCGGGATGAGGAGTTGTCACTGGCACCTGGGTTCTCCAAGAGTCGGCCGTGCAATAGTCGCGATGTGTGGAGTCTAGAACCAGCAGCTTCATCGCATGCGAGGCCTTCAGGCATATGGACTGCGAGAGCATCTGTGTGTTGATAGAAAGTAGACATGTCGGAAGCGGGAGTCGACGACAGATGTATTGAAGAATAACAGCCAGCTTTTTGATGAAAGCAGATTGACATCGCATCTCAGCTCCTGCCATGGTGCCGTCACGAATGCCTTGACAGGCGCGTGGGGCGATATGCTGTGAGGCGCCTAAAGTGAGGCTTCCGGAGACACGCTTCCGACTCGCCTGCGCAGGTGATGCTGCATAGCCGGCCACGAAGAGCCTGAATTCAAGCAAAGTGATCTGCACATCACAACATTTGCGCAACACCAGTATTTGCCACAGCTGCCGCAACATTGCTTGACGGACAGCTGACGATTTCGCTGAGGCCCTCACAGGACACCGGTGCCGCAGGCAGCTGCGGTCAGCACACGGAGCCTCAAAAGCAACTAGTGTAGGATCCTGCCTCGCTGTGTCCTTTGGCAAACAGAAGAAAGCGCAGCATGGGAAGAAATGTGCCGAGGCTTTTTGAGACAGCCCAGTCAGTCACTCAGTCAGTCCGTCAGTCAGCGCTCGAAAAGGGACATGTACTGTGAAGAGTCAAGGAACTCAAAGTAGCTAGCCGAGCTTTAAACAACACAAAAGTCTCGCAGCCCCAAAGGACAGCTGCGGCTGAAGCACAACTCTCCGGAGTTGATCTGATCATCTGATCGGTTGGTGCAGAAAAATCTTAAATGCCAGGACCAGGGATTTGGCAACCTCCGTCCCACTGGCCGATAGTCATGACCCAGATCCATCTATCTCCCAAAATCTGGGACGAAGAGGATGCCTGGTGGCCCCTAGGAGACGGAAACGGTCTGCCGCTGAAATTGTTGCTGCAATCTCCGTAGATCCTGCATCCTGAGTGACCGACCACTGATCGCGTCATGCGCTCTGGCTGTGGCTGCTTCTTATGTCATCCACCTACACGTCCTGCTGAGCACCATACTGCTCCGGGCTGAAGATCAGTTTTTTTGCTGAGCCTGGCCTCAGATTCTGCAAAGTCTGCCTCGGAACCCTGTTGCACTGCAAAGGACATGTCTCACGCCCGTCGTCCAGCCGAGCCACGGGTTAGAGCCGTCATTCACCTCCACATTCAGTTTGATTTCCGGCTGCGCCTCTGGCATGTCCTCAGAAAATGAGCACTGGCTCAGCTTGCCATCGAGCTTTCTCGTTCATGGCCGGACACCAGGAAACTCGTCACTTGTGTACAATCCGCGTGCGTCCAAGCCGCAACAGCACCAAACCTCTGTGCAAGGGATGGCCGAATCTGTAATTCTTATATATATATATATATGTACGACACGACGCTGTACCAGTGTCTGTATACAAGATGTACATGTAATTTTCTGACATCATGTGCACATACATACATACATACATACATACATACTTACATACATACATACATACATACATACATGCAAGGTTTAGCAACTGAAGTCTGGCACTTGGCGCTCCGAACACTGACAACTAGCCACTCTTTTGCTATGAACTCAAGGCGCCTGCGGTACGCAAAGTCTTTCAAGTACATCCTAGCACTGACACTATACACGCTGCTACT